TTTTGAAAAAGAACTGAATATTACTTTGGAAGACAGCTTGGCAGTTTTTTACAAAAAGTTAAATATGATCTTATCACCTGACATAGCAATTTCACTCCTTGGTATTTACCAAAGGAGAAAAAAAGCTTGCGTACACACAAAAACCTGTGCGTGGATGTTTATAGCAGCTTTATTTACGATTGCCAAAGACTGGGAGGCAACCAAGATGTTCTTCAGTGGGTGAAGGGATACATAAGCTGTAGTGAGTCCAGACAATGGAATAGTATTCAGCACTGAAAAGAGATGAGCTATAGAACCATGAAAAGACAAGGAGGGATCTAACTGCATATTATTAACTGGAAGAATTCAATCTGAAAAGGCTACACATGTATGAATCCAAGTATATGACATTCCGGAAAAGGCAAAACTGGGGAGACAATAAAATGATCAGTAGCCATGCTTCAGAGGAGAGGGAAGAGTTAAAAGGCAGAACAAAGGATTTTTAGGGCAGTGAAGCTATATATTTGGATGTTACTATCATGCTGGATACGTGTCACTGTACATGTGTTTAAATCCATAGGATGTATAACACTAAGGGTGAAACTTCATGTAAACATGTACTTTGATAATGATATACAGTAAAACCTTGGATTGCAAGTAACTTGATCTGCAAGTGTTCCACAAGATGAGCAAACAATTTCTAATAAATTTTAACATGAGAAATGAGTGATGTCTTGCAATACAAGTAGCATGTGATGCTGAATGTCACATGATCACATCTGAGCCAATGGTTCTTCTCTCTCTCTCTCTCTCTGTCTCCCCCTCTCACTGTGGGATTGTAGGTGATTGTCTCCCATGCTCTGATGGTCAGTCTCAGCTTGGAGTGTTTGGCAGAAATCAGTGATTTTTCAGAATGTTGGAAGTTGCCCACAACTGGCATGAGTGTATTTTTTGTCACTTCGAAGCCCCATTGGACATCCCTTTGCATTTCCATATGAGCGTAAGCTTAGGAATGCTTTGCTTCATTCTAGGTCAGGTTGCCTGCAGATACAGATCCTTTCCTCTGCAGCCTTCTTACCAGTTACATTACATACAGTATATGACAAGTTTATTAATACTGTCCTGTAGCCGATATCCATGAGAGTGTGTACAATGGTCCCCATGCAGAAAAGTGTTGAAAAGAAAGGCAGTAAGAAAGAGATATTTATGGTGGAAGTTAAGAAGGAAGTCATCAAGAAGTACAAATGAGGTATGCAAGTGGCCAAAATTGCAAGATTTTATAAGACGTTTACATCTGCATCTCCTCTGCAGAGGAGGAGGAGAAAAATGCAGAGGAATCCCTCACTTCAAATGAGATTGGGGAGATAGTGTAAAATGCAGGAAACAGTGCAAAATTTTGTAGATAACAACCACCAGAATCAAGACGATAGCAGGGTGAGCGATGAATCTGTTTAATGGCAATGCAATGGCACATTTCCACAAAAATCCTCAAAAGGAGGCAAAAGCAAGTGTCATTGGAAAGGTTTCTTGTTAAAAGTGCAGGAAAAGAAAAAGATTCCATTGAACCAATAGACGGCAGTGATTCCCTTAGTGATATGTCCTACACAATAACCCTCCTCTCTTGTCTCCCTCACACCAGCCCTGAAGGTTTTCAAGGGTAAGTGCCAGCTAATTTGTTTATTTTTCTTTATATTTTGCATTTTCTTTATTATTTTGTATTATATTGCAGTATTGTAATCATTTTTATATGAATATTTTTGGGTTGTAGAACAAATCATCTGAGTTTCCATTATTTCTTATGGGAAAATTTGCTTTGATATACAAGTGCTTTGGATTACAAGCATGTTTCCGGAACGAATTGTGCTCGCAAATCAAGGTTTTACTGTGTTAATATAGGTCCATTAATTGTAACAAATTAACACTCTGGTGGGAAATGTCTGCTGGGAAATTATGGTTTGGAAATGGTGATAATGGGGATGGTATGAATGTGTGTGTGTAGGGAGTATGTGGGAAACCTCGGTACATTTGGCTTAATTTTGCTATGAACATAACATTGCTCTAAAAGGAGCAATTTCTTAAAAAAAAAAAAGAAAGAAAGAAACAAAAAGAGGGAAGCTGGCCGGCTCAGTTGATGAAGCATGTGACTCTTGATCTCAGGGTTGTGGGTTGGAGCCCCACATTGGGTGTAGAGATTACTTAAAAATAAAGTCTTTAAAAAAAGGAAGCAAAAAGAACTTTTGGGAATAAAAATAAAGTTGTTGAATTAAAAAAGACAAAACAAAACTTCAGGGATGGATAAATAACAGTTTATACACTGTTGGAGAGAGAATTAGTGAACTGGAAAACAAATCTGAGGAAATTACCTGGAGGGCAGGATAGAAAAATTAAGAGATGGAAAACATGTACTAGTGGCACCTGGGTGGCTTAGTTGGTTAAGTGTCTGACTCTTGATTTTGGCTCAGGTCATGATCCCAGGGTTGTAGGATTGAGCCCTGTGTCAGGCCCCACGCTGAGCGTGGAGCCTCCTTAAAGATTCTCTCTCTTTCTCTCTCTCTGCATCTCTCCCCCACTCCCACTTTCTCTCAAAAATTGAATTAAATTAAATTAAAATTAAAAAAAGAAAACATGTACTAGAAATTGGGCCATGGAGGACAGAGAAAGATGACCTAACATATGACCAATACTATTTCTAGAAGGAGAAAATAGAAGATTAAGAGAGATCAAACATTTGAAGAGACAATGACTGAGACTTTTTCTAGACTGAAAAAAACAGACTCATAAGATTTAAGAAACACATCATGTTATCAGAGAAAAACAAAAATAAATCCATATCCAACTACATCATGAGATTATAGGACACCAAAAACAAAGAGATCTTAAAAGAAACCAGTTACAAAAGACTAATATTAAGAAAAGTGAGGGAATAAAAAAAGAAAGGAAGACAAAAGAGAAAAACTAAAAAGAACAATGTACTCTCTGGTATTAGACAGATCTGTCTTTAAGTAGCAACCCCACCTCTTTGACCTTAACCTCTCTGAGGCTTAGTTTCCATATCTGTAAAATAAATATTCAATCCATAGTCATCGCTAATTTCCTGCAAAATGCCTAACACAAAGGCTTGTTTGTTAGTACATGTTAAGCAAAAAGGAGTTATTATTGACAGAAGTAATTTTCCCGGGGCGCCTGGGTGGCGCAGTCGGTTAAGTGTCCGACTTCAGCCAGGTCACGATCTCGCAGTCCGTGAGTTCGAGCCCCGCGTCAGGCTCTGGGCTGATGGCTCAGAGCCTGGAGCCTGTTTCCGATTCTGTGTCTCCCTCTCTCTCTGCCCCTCCCCCGTTCATGCTCTGTCTCTCTCTGTCCCAAAAATAAATAAACGTTGAAAAAAAAATTAAAAAAAAAAGAAGTAATTTTCCCATGATATACATTCCTATAGCATAACCTTGCCCTTGAACCCAACCTCAGGATAATTAAATTTAAATGTATGTCATATTGCATAGTGCCATTCCTGAGGCACAAAAACCTTAAACTTAAACCACTAACATGGGACTCCATCAACCCTGCAAGACAAGCTTTAGAGATCAACCCCCCTGTGGTCTTGCCATCAGGACATCTTTAGAATTACTACAAAAATCTCTCTTTTTGTAGTTTCCTTGTCTTCAGGACTTCCCTAAATTCAAAGATAAATCCAAAACCAACTTGTAAGCTTTCCTTGACCTTCTCCCAGAGCAGCTTACAAAGTCCTGCCACATGGTCCCATAGTACTTTCCTTTTTCATAGCATTAATCATGTATTGTTTCTGCTAGATAATGTTCCAGCTTCTTCATTAGACTCTAAGCTCTTTGAAGGCAAGCAACTTACCTGTCTTGCTAACCACTGAATCCACAGTGATTAGCACATGGCCTGGAATTTTTAAGGAGGCACTTAAAAAGTTACTGAATCTTCAGAGAAAAGAAATTGGAAGTTAGGGGTGGAATTTATTTACAGAGTTGTTGTTATATATAAAACCATGGTATTTTCCTAGAGTTGGAAGGGATTCTAGAAAACATCTAGTCTGCCCATTGCTTTCCTGATGAGAAAAATGAGCTTATCGATTCACCTGAAAGTCTAGGGCTATTTATTAAATGGTAGAAATCAGACCCAAATGGTATTGTGTTGCCTCCGTGACCAAGATCATGGCTGTGTAAGTGAAAGAAGCCAGGCACAAAAAGACAAGTCATGTACGATTCCACTTCTATGAAATTATCTAGAATAGGCAAATTCAGGAAGGCAGAAGGTCGATTAGAAGTTACCAGAGGCTGGGGAGAGGAGGGCTGGAGAGTTATTGCTTAATGATGGCAGTATTTTGGTCTGGTATGATGAAAATGTTTTGGAAATAAATAATGGTATGGTTGTACAACAATGATAGCATAGTATCACTGGATTGCACATTTAAAGATGGTTAAGATGGCAAATTATACGCTATGTATGTTTCATCACAACTAAAAGAAAAAAGAAATGAAAATCATGGCTGTGGTCATTCCCCACTCGCCTTGCTTCTCCAGGCCGTTTGTAGATTGGGGACAATTTCTTTAATGAGCATTTAAAAAAATCATTGAGGGAGGGTGCAAACAGGCAGAGATAATGCCTGATGTAGGACCATCAAATTAAAAGTGACATTTCTCTATTATTAACCCACAATTTCTCAGCAAAGTAAAATCTCTAAGCTGATACTAGAAAAATGCCAGTTCCATAAGCTATTTAATTTTTCTGGATAGGGTGTAAAATAACCGCTAAAACCATAAAAGATACCATATGGCACCAAAGACAGGGGGAGAAAGAGTTCTTTTTTGTTGTTGTGAGTACTCAGTGAACAATTTGCTCTCTATTCTCCTAAACATATTAGGGTGCCATTAAGAGAAAAATTTCAAAAGTGTCAGGAAGACATATCCTAAATGGAAAGAAAGTTGAAAAGATAAATAAAAATGAGCATTCCTTTCGCTATATTCGGTGGAGTCCTGCAGAGAAAAAAAATTCCAGCCAGGCAGCATTGAGACATAGTTTATTAATGCAGTTTCCCCCACAGCAGGACATAGAAAAGAGAAATTGGTAAAACAGTCACATTAAAAAATTATGACTCCTACATCTGATCTTTATGAATACACAGAAAAGAAAGTGTCCTCTTGAGTCGTCCTTGGGCCATGTTAAGGCAGAGATGCAAAGGATTTTTTTTTTTTTTCCTCCAAAGCAGCACTACTTGCTCACACATGGTTGGAACAGACTGCAAGTTACCTCCCACATTTAGTGGATCTGAAAGGTGTTTATAGGCAGAACTTACTGGAAGATTTTGAGCAGTGCTCCTAATTACGTTTTGAAATAAAACCCTTGTCTTTTGCTTTTAAAGATTATACACCATTGACGTCTGTATTCCCTTTGGAGAAAAATTGTAGTAGGTTGTATAAAACTGGTTACAAGTCAAATTTCTCCGGAGTCTTAGAGCTGGAAAGGACTTTGCCCGTCATCGTCTAACTCAGTGTTTTGCAGTGTGGAGTCTGTGCTCCCTGGGTGAGGTATGAAATCAGTTTAGAGGGTCACAGCTAGCACTGGAAAGTAAAGAAGGAGGCGATAGAATAAAATTGAATATTAAACACCTTTTGCATATACTGTTTTGAGAAACTTTTGTTTCAGTTGTGTGTGTGTGTGTGTGTGTGTGTGTGTGTACACATGTTGGTTCACACTGTAAAGTGTGTGCCTTACTATGAGTTCTGGTGAAAAAAATGAGAAAGTCACCAATGTAATCGCTTTCTGTTCCAGGTAAGACGCCTGGAGCCAGAGGGGGTAAATGACTTCCTCAAGTACCGCGTGTCAGAAGTAGTCCAGATCTCTTGACTCCCAAGATCCTTAACATTCGACTCTGATGATGGAAGAATACTAGTAGGTGGGTGTCAACGCTTGCCCTGTGGCTTCCATACCGCGGCAGCTGACATTCTAGTCCCCTTTTGGAGCAATTCCTGTGCTTCTGGGTCGGCTGGACTCCCCTTTCTCCTCCTCCACTAATTCTGCCAACCTTATGCCATATGGCATCTGACGCTCTGTGAGGTGGAGTGGGTGTGTAGAGGGACAAACGTCAGTGGCCAGGCGTGGATAATCCATGACTGTTGGGTAGCTCGGAAGGTGCAAAATTCCACCCCTGACTGCAGCCTGGAGCTGATGAGCCACTCGAGAAACAGAATCACAGCCTCCCTGTGAAAAAGAGGGAGTGCCTGTGACCACTCACATAGAAGGCATTCTCAGAAAGGAGACAACCAGCTGACAACCGTGGGCTTTAGGTAATTCCTGCCAGACTCATGCACTCTGGCTGGTCTTCCTGAGCCGAAATAGAAGCATGCAGAAAGTGTTCTATGACTGCAAAGACAAAGCAGGATTATGAAAGAGGATCCTGCCCGGGATTCAAAGTGCCTCTGGTTTGGACTTAGAATGATCACCCTCATGGAGAAACAAACACTTGTAACGCATTTACTATGTGCCAGGTGTTGTTCTGAGAATATTATAAATATTTACTCATTTAATCCACGTGGTCAACCTTTAGGCCTTGGTGGACTCTCTTGGTTGCACAAGGTTGAGAAGCATGGAGATGTGATAAAATAATGCTTTTCTTCCTGATCCGAAGACAGGAGGGTGAGTACTGTTAATAGTGTAGAAACCATGTCACTGACGAAGTGAATTAATCAATAGCCAAATCCAGGGAGAAAAGGTCAACTGCCTACTTTCTCTTGGCCGAAGGAACCGGGGGAGGATTGTCCTTGCGAAGATTCATCACTTTCTGATGCTTTCCAGAAGTGGTGATAGATCTGCGACAAGCCATTTATTAAAAAAAAAAAAAATTACCTTCATATATTTGTAGGATAGCTGCTTTGGTGGTGAGGCATCTGCTTGGGTCCAGAAAACACCCCCTCAAGCCCATGTAGAGATCAAACCTGTGCCCTGGGCCTCATCCAGTGCTTTGCATGGTGCTGGGAGAGGATCCTCAATACTGCGTTGAATTCATTTATTATCACACTTCAAAAACCGAAAACTGACTTTGGAAACTGCTAGATTTGGCTTTGATGATGAAAATTAGTAGAAGTTTACTGAAGTGTAAGGAGGGCAAGAGGTTTTTTTAAAGATGAAAAGGAAGTGAGGGTTTTTTTTTTAAGTACCTATTACATGCCCTTATGTTTTATAGGTTAACATTAAATCCCACAATACTCTGATGGAATCTCCATTTCATAGATGAGGGAACTAAGTTAAATGATTTGCTGAAAGTAAATAGGTGAGGGGCAGGATTCAGGATACAGTTTGCCTGCAGAATCCATTACTCTTTCCACATCACGCTGTAGCCCGAAAGTTAAAAAATTTTTTTTTTCGTCATCTGAAAAATGATTTGGCCCTAGCACTATTCACTGACCATGGCAAATCTTTAATTGATCTTTCCATGCCATAGCCTACCGATTATCCACGAGGAATGGCAACAGTTAAGGCCTGTTCTCTGTAATTAAGCCTTGGTTCCCTTACCAACTCCACCATGTAATTACACTTACTTCTCGAACAGGCAGATATGGTTCACTAAAGAATCTGAGAACAGCCATTTAAATGATGCCTAGTTTCTTGCTCTGGTCTGGTCAAGTCTGGGCTTGGGCACATAAAGAATGCTGCTGCCCCTGAACTCACCAATGCTGATGCTACGTGGGAGTCGGGGTGTATTTCCTGCGTATTCTGTGAAACTTCGAACTTCTTCCTGTTCATCGTTTTCCTCAATGAACATGTCGAGTAAAAATGCAGGTTGCTAAATATTTATCCTTTTCTTGGAGCAGCCTGGGCTGACTTAGGCAGCAAGTCTCATATAGTTATTAATCATCAGAAATGGAAAATGTTTCTTTTTGAAAGGTATAATTATCAGAGGTCTCACACGAACAAGATCTTGAAAAGAAGATAGTATTTGCCATCATCAGTACATTCTGTGGCTGTACTAATGAAAAAATTTGGCTTCTCCCACAAAGTTTATGGACTTTTTTTTTTCAGTTGAAATAAGATTTGGCTTAGCATAAGGCACTAAAAGGGGAAGGATGGTATTAAATAGTGAAGTTACGCAGGGCTGTGTTGTAATGTGGAGTGAGAAAGGGAACCCACAGAGATTCAATTATCTTCAGGAGTCTAGAAAACCCTAGGCTTCCAAATGCCCACCAAATAAACCAACTATTAAAGTAAACAAAAGTTGCTTGGAGTTAAAAGTCATTAAGTAAAAATGAGATGACAAGCAAGGTCACTTGGACCCAGAGATCGAATGAAATGTCCAGATTAAACACCGGAGGGTTTAAAACAAACACAAACCAACCCCCCCCCTTCCCTCATGGGTCAAAAAGGAGCTTAAGACAATCCAAAAATATTTTCTGAGTTTGAAGTCCCCAAAAAGCAAGGATTCAAAGGTCACATACAAAGTACTTCCCACTTTCTTGGTCTCACCATGGCTATTCTGAGGGGACTGGGCAATTAGTACCTGGGGGGGAAAAAAAAAACTCTTAAGAGAGTTGGAGAGGTCCAGATGTTGGAGATTATGACCTCCTGGATAAAATGGAATTTAACGAGAAGAATTAATTTATGACTTTCTCTCCCTATTTGCAGTATGTGTTCAGCTTATTATCTGTACATATTGTGATGCACAGCAATTACAATGCTGAAAATAATGGGCAACACGTGTCCACTGTAGTTAAGTTTAAGGGGGGGGGAGCATTTGTCACATTTTAGTCTGCACATCTGGTTCTACAATATTTGCCAACTGATTAATATAGAAATATATTGCAGTGAAAATCCTTTCATATTAAAGTTTTATTTGCCAGGAAGTAGAATTCTTTCCTTTCCGCTCTCTCCCCCACATTTTATGCTGAACTCTGAAATTTCCAGCACTAGGGTTCATCTGAGCAAACAGGACAGGGAATCTGCTCTTGTCTTTGTTTAATTCTCCAAGTTCTGATAGTGACAATTGGGATATATATGCATCCTTTGTTTTGTAAAGCACATCCACAAGGGAGAAACCCTAAGGCTTATTCTAAAAAGCTGGTAGGGCATCAGATAACTCCCACACTTAAAACCACATAAATTAAATTCTAAATTTTAAACTCCCTTTTATTGAAATATAAGTTTGTTTAGCATATTTACAACACTTTATGCACATATATACACAGAAGGCAAATTCTGTCAAATAAAAAAGTTTTTCTTAATAAAAAATTAAAATAAAAACAAAGTAAAGTGCATGAAATTCATTTTCTTCTGGTGAACATCATCATTGTCAAAATTTTGGTCGATGGGGAGGGGGGAGGAAGAATAAATTCATTACTTGACTCAGCGCATACAGCCGGTCCTGTATTTGTAGCCCTTAGGCCAAAATGACAAGTGGTAAGGAACAAGTCAGACTCATTGTCAGGGTCTGTAGGACCCCCACCCCGGTTCCGAAGGTCCTGCTCTCTTTGTCCTATCGGGAGCCTTCCCCCAGCTCCTAACAGTGATCTCACCATCACGGTGCTGGAACAAAGGCGGAACACAGGAAGGGGGCTCCACCAGCCAATGTCACAGCCCAGCTCCGGGGCCACCAGCGCAGCGTTTGGTAGGAAATGCAGGATTAGCTCAACGGCTCAAACAGAAGTTTTCCTTTTTCGGAAGGGGAATGCGGGGGCCAAGGAATGGGATGCATCTCCCACGGAGACGGCCACCCGGGGGGCCAAACTCCGCAGCCCGTTTCTTCGGATCCAAACTCAGTGCTGGCACAGGGTAGAATCCTTTCAGAGGCTGGGCGGAAGGAATGGTTCACTTCTTCCCCCGGTGAGTTCGTCCTCCCAGAACTTTGAAAGGAAACGGCAGGAGACGGAGAGAAAGGGGCAGGTGGGTGAAGCTGAAGTTTTAGCCTCCTTCCCGCTCCGGCCACTGGCTGGGCGTTGGCCGGCTGGTCCCCCGCGGCGGCCCTTCCCCCATCAGCCATTCCTCAGCCAGGGGTCTCTCTCTCTCTCTCTCTCTCTTCCTCCAGGGTACGCTAAGTCCCCGGTCGGCGGCCGTACTTGGCCTTACAGTGCAAAATGTGCTTGGCGAGGAAGTCGAGGCGGCGCTGCAGCAGCTGAGCGTGGGGGTCGGCGAGCGCGGCCAGCTCCGGGAAGCGAGGCTCGTGGCGCTGGTAGAGGCGCAGCAGCCGGGCGGCCGCGTCCTGGCCGCGGTGCAGCTCCAGGACGCGCCGCGCAGTCCGCTCGCGGAACACGCACACCGACTGCAGCAGCGGCTCGTTATATTTGTCCCACATGCCCGCCACCCGGTAGCCGTGCACCAAGCCCGCCTCGTTGTCCAGAAAGACCAGCGCCCCGCCGGGGCCGCGGTGCAGGTTGCTGGTGGCGCGCTGCATGACGCGCGGGTCCCACTGCAGGCTGAAGAGGTTGCTGACGAGCCGGTCGAAGTTGGCCGTCAGATAGTCAAAAAGGATCAAGTCGGTCCACTGCACCAGGTCCACCAGCTCCGCCTGGCTGCGGTTGGCCAGCTCGCCCCCGGCGGCACGCAGGGGCCGCAGCTGGCCGTCCTCCGAGCGCCAGGGCGCGGGCACCACCACGTCCGTGAGGTTGGGCAGCCAGCGCGTCAGGCTCACCACGCTGCCCTCCGTCCAGTGTGCGGCGCGAAGCTCCTCCTGCACCTGCGCCCACTGCGCGCCGCGAGCCTCCACCCGGGCCAGTGCCAGCGGCGGCACGTGGCGCTGGAGGCCCAGCAGGCGCGCCAGGTAGTAGGACAGGGCCTCGCCCTGTATCTGCTCGGGGTTGATGCCGTAGCGCACGCAGGCGCGGGTGCCGTCGGAAAAGCGGGCCAGCCGGTTGGAGCTGCGCCCGCAGCCGCCGCGCTCCAGGGCCACCACCCGGGCGCCGCGCGCCGCCTCCAGCCACGCCGCCGCCTGCGACTCCGAGAAGCCGCGGGGCACCTGCTCCTCCAGGCCGCGGCTCCAGAAGACGCCCCCGTGCACCACGGCGCGCCCCTCCGGCCCGAGCCGCCGGGATGGCACGTGTCGCTCGCGCTCTCCCGGGGGCCGCCGGGGCGGGCCGTCCGCGCCGGCCGCCAAGGTGAGCAGCGCCCGG